GTGTTATTTATGCACATTACCAATGGTAAGCTGGATCAATCGTTATCGTAACAAATAAGAATTCTGCTCGGCTGAAGTCCTATTTGGGAGATATTTCAGCATAACTTTATGGGGCAGAACCCATTGACTTGGGAATTGGCACGCAGCATCCAAGCGCCATGTCCACGTGCTATACGCCCGCGTACACGTGAAAACACATGCAAAGATCATGGTATAAAAGAGTTACGATTAAAACACAGAATGAAGAAATTAGGATCTAGTTGTACCTCTTCCTACACCCGCTATGGTTGTTCATTTATCCCTATAGCTAGACATTAGTCATTCGTTGCGACTGCCCTGTACTTCGTTATTACCTCGAATGTGCAATAGATACGCATCGATTATGTATTCTTGCGATCGTGCGATGAGAAAACTGATCGATACGGATCCACTCCATGGAAAGCCTCAAAATCACGAACAACGACCGCGGCTCTACAGATTTCGATTATAATTTGCGGAAGGTGTGGGAAGCGGAAAGTGGAGAAATTCGTGAAAAGCGCAAGCTGTCAGTGCTGACGCTTTGTTTTTAGATCAAGCGTAGACGTTTTCTATCTTTTCCTCGCCTTTCCACATCCATTCCTAAAGCATTCCACTGGCCGATGTCAGACTTTGCGATTGGAGCGATTTTGCACCAATTGCAGGAGCGACGGATCGCTTGAGCGATGCGAGCGACGGGAGATTTACGAACTGATGGCGCCGAATTATCGTTGGTCGGCGGTGTAAATCTCCGTCGCATCGCTCAAGCGATCCGTCGCTCCTGCAATTGGTGCAAAATCGCTCCAATCGCAAAGTCTGACCATCGCCACTGCCACAATGGGTGCGCAATCAATCCACAAGAATGGTTCAAACCAACGAGAGTTTTTGGAGCGATAATAGGAAGAGTAGGAGTACCCCTATCCTTCAGCGAATCGCGCGACCGCCCAATCCGTGGGCATTGCTGAAGTTGCCGATGGTTGCGTGAGTCTAGGGTATAAACGGTGTTTTATACAACATCTGGATAGCGTTGTACAGCCTCAACATGAAGAGGCACTAACACTGCATAACCTATGGACATCAAACTTTTGTCAACGGTAGATTTTTTCTGGCACTCCCCCACCCCCCACATTCCGTTATCACATTCGGACATGTTGAGGACGAAGAGACATAGAGATCAGCACATAGACAAACTAGCACAGTATGTTAGTGATGCGTATAGTAAAAGACAATATCAACCTACCGGAAGATGTTCAACCTTGAAATAAAATGAATTGGGCGGTTTTGAATAATTTGTATTTTTGACTTGCGGGGTGCCTGCACATTTTTATTCCATTCTGCTCCCCTGTCGCGTAGTGGATGCGCATGGCGACTGCATTATTAGTTGTGATTTCAACCAGCGTTCAAGTTAGCATTTCTTCTCAACGATGCAAATCTAGTGAAATTTACCGATTCCATAAGGGAGGAAGGACTGGTTACCCTGAGAGAGACACAATAGTGTGGTTTTCGCTTACACGATTCGGCGCCCTAATCCCCGCATCGTCCCAGTCCTTTTCCATTCAACCCTATTCGAAGGCCAGGGCGCTCGGAAGTAATGAAATCTCCTTGAAAGTTCGTCGAGCATTCACTTCTGAAAACTCGAATATACCGCATAATGTATGCCTGTATCAGCATCCTTCAAGATACTTTGCATTACCGTATTCGAAAATGGTCGCGATCGGTGATGCAGCGCTGAAGTCCTTCGGGGGACACTCAAAACAGGACCTTAGAAAAAAGCGAGAGATGAGAGGTGACACTGGGACTAGACCCAGGAGAGAGGGGAAACGCCAGTAATAATGAAAATCGCTCACTTCCTCCCCCAAAACTCTTCCCCACCCTGCCAATCGCTCTCGGCCGACGATCGCGATCGCTCCATCGCTTGTCCGTCGCCGAGTGTGACGGCGGTCTAAAGCTCAGTCCCAAGCACTAGCTGGCCCACTCACCTAAATGTCCCCTAACGACATGAGCGCCGCTGATGCTCCTAGCCCGACAACGGAACCAAACTTGGAGAACTCGGTCAGTCTTTGGAAGATTACACTGAACGGGCAAATCCGAGCTCATCATTTCCATCGAAACACAACCCTAACAAAAAAGCCCAAAACTTCTAGACGTACTCTTCCCATGCATTACATTTGGAGCTCTGGTATTTTCTTATTACTGTGCAGCATGTACAACTTGAACAATTTTTTGATGGTTCCATGGTTAAGTTGGGATTTGTGTCAAAAATTAAAGAGTACGCTTCACTCACACGATTGCGTTTGCTGTCCTGTCCCTCGTTGACATTGGTCAAGGTGGTCGACATGGTCGTAGTAGAACTTCCACGACGACAGGGTTAGTGGATGTTCGGTTATGGTTCACCACTTTCTCCCCTGAAATATTAGTCTAATCAATTTGATGTGATCGATTTCTTAGTTAGTTGAGTGCGATTTCTTCTTGAAAATAAGAAAATGTGCCCAAAAGGCGTCGTTTAGGCCGCGCTTATAGTTTCTTGTCTGACGATCTCTCGTGAGTAGATACGTATCGATCGTCAAGATTGCATGATCGATACTTATCCACTCTACATCTTCAAAACAAGCTGCAAAACGGTCGCAAACTATGGACTCTTCCTTGTGTATAACCACTGAACATATTGTATTGATTCCCATTGCGTTTTTGTTGTCTTTTGTTTCCGGATTTTACTCCCCTTCTGTTAACAACTGCAGCCTCTCTATATCCCCAAAAAATTTCTCAGCAGAACTATACATCTAGTAGCACCTATGTGGAATGATATAAAAGAAACAGACCGTAACCAGTTCCAACAAATTACTTGAACCCACAAACCTGAAGAAAACCACCTGTCGATGCTTAAAGGACTTATCAAACTAGTCACTAGATACTAGCACCTTTAGGGATAGCTGCGGTTTCCTTTGACGGTTTATTTAACTTGACAACGGGCTAAAAAACTGAGCTATTTTGGCAATAACAGTAACATCAAAAATATATACGACGACGAGCACGTGTGTACTTGGTTGGACATTTTAATGCTGACAGATCAAGTTATTTGAAAATTAGTGAACATTTTTCACTAAGAAGTTTCAGAAAACTAGTACTCGCTTTAACTTAGGCTCTTTTCCATAAGAGAGATGAATTCGCTTTGGAGCATACTAACCCGCTACAAAAACGGGATTTCGATCAGTCGGCGGCGAACTATGCCGCCTGAAACTGCCCCCCCCCCAACTAACAAAAGCACTCACAAGCGTGGACTGATACACCTAACTCAAAAATATCCCGAACGACAACATTAGACACTTGGTAACTTGCTCCTCCACGGCACCTCCGAAAACAACCTGCCACAGTAATGGCGCTCTAGACAAGACTGCATGCGTCTCTGTTCCTCTCTGTACTCTTGACTTCTCACCGATGACACACTCCTCACCTATCCTGCCCTTATTCTGCTTCCATCTAGCTTCCTTCACCCATCCAGTTCAAATATCATTTAGCAGACTGCTGTTTGATCTCTAAACAATACTTACTTTGACTTTCCGTCTTCTTCTTATTTTCACAGGTGCTCTCAGATTAACAATGGGAAAACCCGAGTTGACGGTGGCCGATGCTGGCCGTTACGCGGCGCTGCGGAATCAACTTCCTCCCAGTCGCCAATCCTCTCCGAACAATTTCCGCTCACGTTTGGTTGTAATAACGTTGTATTGAGAGACATTTTTTTAGGTGCATGGTCACAAGAAGTTTTGTTTTGTAGACATGTATTTCCGGGAAGCTCACGCCCTCCATGTCCAAAATTGCAATTATTGAGTGCTTCGAATCCTTGCACAAATGCTCCTGCGGCCAGCGCCTTCTAGGATTTCAAACATAACTGGACCTCACCTTCACCGGAAATAAGTGGAAGGGAGAAGTAGAGTAGCCTCCGACCGTCAATCCATGACTGAGTTACTCCTAGTAGATGGAAAGTGATCGGTCTCTGATCAGTCTTATCAGAGAGAATATGTTGTAGCTAAGTAAACATGAGAAGAAGCTAGAATCTTTTTCCGAAATATTTCTTACACTTGGTGCTAGTGCGGTGTGGCTGTAGTCTAGATGGGTTGGCACAAATGTGACTCGGGGGTCTCTGCTAACACAGGCGTCTAGGGCCTAGGCGAGCAGCATGGCGGTACCTCTCGGAAATTGCTTCCATACACTGGGCCTCCTCCCCTTCAACAGATCAGATAGTTCTGTTTTCCGCGTTTCCCCGTGGAAGCATTACGTGTCAAGACTCCCCCCCCCCACTCCTCCTTAAGTCCCCTTATGCGCCGATTCAATATTCTTCGCGTCACGGATGCGCCTACTAATGGTGTGAAACCGCACTAATGGCACGTTTCCTGTTCTTTGTGTCCATCCTCGCACGCTAGCCAAACCGTTCTTTGTGTCCATCCTCGCAACGCTAGGAAACCCATCGGGCTCACGGTATCAATAATCTGTGACGTTCATTGTTTTGATAATACCCTCCAGCTGCAATACAAATATGCACAGAGTACACTGTTAGTCGTCCCACAAAGTGTTGCAGTCGAGAGTGAAGGTGAGGGAAACACTAGTAAAGAAGTCAACCGCTAATCCTAAGACGTGCAGAGTACGCAGGAAATGGCAAATGGCAGCTGCCAATGAAAGTTTGGTAAAAGCAGAAGGAATGCCGCCGCTAATCAATTTCATTCTGTGAAGCACCACGCATTCGATTATTTCCATTTTGGAGTGTCTGGGAAATGGAATGCAATGTGTTCCATACAGTGACTTGGTGGGGCCATGCGCATAACCGTATTCGACCGTATAGGTTTGATACCCTTAACAGACTCTGGAGTTGTAGAGGGCTAGGTTGTCCTGGTAGAGATTCTATCAGTGATCCCTAGGCCGCACGCTGGTACGTGCTGATAAACCGCTTCCATTCATGCAAGAGAGCACACATTCCTGAGCTGCGGTTTCCAATGACGACGGTTACAACTGTTCCAGAGTGCAAGTAGGGCGAAAATTGTCGTTTTTTCTTCTTTGCTCGCTCGGACCTTGTCCAGCTGTACCATTACCATCTGTAAGACTCACATTTTATAGAATGACTGTGACTTTTTTCTTGAAATCGTATAGCTACTAGCTCATTTCTCGCTTAGATTCCCGCTGTCGAACTATACTTTCGGTACAAAGGATGCGCAGTCGGAAAGAGATCATTCAGTGCAAGCGCGGTTTCAACGGATGAGAGAGGAATATGAAAAGGTAAGGATATGCAACCTTGTGAAGTCATCTGTCTGTGGTCCTATAGTCGAATACTTCCTTGTAATGCATGAAAAATGTCCATGCTGCATTTCCAGGTGGGAATGAGACGTTCTGTAGATGCTGTATTGATCGTTCACGAGCACTCTCTCCCTCACATTCTCCTGCTGCAGATTGGTAGTACTT